GCTGAACCAGCACATTCCCGGCCAGGCCACGTGGGCAGCACCAGAATTTCCTCTCCCTTCAGCCTTTCCCAAGGGTCAAGCTGGGAGCTGCCAGCCTGGCAGTTTTCCAGCAGCTTCCCCACCCTGACCAGCACCATGCTGGGCTCCTACCCGTGCCCAGGGACTCACACCGGTGGGTCATTGACCCCCTCCCCCAGCAGCACAGCCCCTTGCTGGGTACCTGCCCCATTTGCTCCCCTTTCTGCAGCTGCACCCACATGAGCTGCTTGGTCTCACCATGAGGTGCAGGAGTTGAAATTTCAACTCATGATGAGACCACACCAGGCGAGCTGGGGTCAGATCCATGGCAACAGAGCCGTGTTTTGCAATGGGGGGAGCAGCTTTTTGGCTCTGCCTCCCTGAAGCAGAGTGTGCTGGATGTCCTCACCCACCCTGGGCTCTCCAGGGGCTCTGGACCAGCCCAGAGGTGCCTCCTGCACCAGCTGCTGCTCACTTGGAAGCGAGATGGGGTCTGGCACCGCTCGTCCTTCGGCAAACCTCCCACTGGCAGCTGCCTGGCCGGGCCTGTGTGCTCCTGCCCCAGCATGCCTCACCCCTCTGGCACAGGGGAACAGGGTGTCCAGAGCTGGGACCTCCAAAACGTCTGCTGGTGAAATGCCAGCAAATGCAGGGCCATAGATCCCCAAGGAAGGAGGGGTTTGGACCCCATTTCTGCTGCCTGCGCCCTGTAACAGCTTGCAGGGAGGCTGTGGGCTGGCGGGGAGGGGGAGGCAGAGGGCTGGTTTCCATGTAAAACGAGCAATCAAGGGCAGGAATTTGCTGACATGGCGTTCTGTCTGAAACACTGGATTAATCACAGCTCACCACCGTGAGCTCCCTGGCCCTGCTTCTCCACCAGCCCTTTTCACCCCCCGGGCAGGGACCGAGCCCGCCCTGAGCTCCAGGTCCCTGCTAACCCCCAGGTGGGGGGGCAGGTCCCCAGGGATATGGGCTCTGCCTCTGCACAGATCCCCTTTTGCATACCTTGGAGCAAGGCCGGGCTCAACAAGTGCCACGCTGGTTTCTGGGCCAACTTGCAGGTTCCCCATGGCCTCCTTGTGGTGTTTGTGTGGGCTGGGGCCACAGCCTTCCTTGCTCTTGGACGCTGCTCTTGGCCCCGTCCTGGCTCTCCTGCAGAGCGTGTGCTGGGGGCTGTTCCATGGCTGACCCTTTCTCTCTCTCTCTCTCCCTCTCCCCCCAGGGTCTCCCCTCCTGGATTTGCAGGAGCAGTTCAGCCCTCCTGAGATTGCGCCGCCGCTGCTGGTGAAGCTGGTGGAAGCTATTGAGAAGAAAGGTAAGAGGGGATACTGAGAACTGAGGGGCTCCAGGTCCCTGCTAACCCCCAGGTGGGGGGGCAGGTCCCCAGGGATATGGGCTCTGCCTCTGCACAGATCCCCTTTTGCATACCTTGGAGCAAGGCCGGGCTCAACAAGTGCCACGCTGGTTTCTGGGCCGACTTGCAGGTTCCCCATGGCCTCCTTGTGGTGTTTGTGTGGGCTGGGGCCACAGCCTTCCTTGCTCTTGGACGCTGCTCTTGGCCCCGTCCTGGCTCTCCTGCAGAGCGTGTGCTGGGGGCTGATCCATGGCTGACCCCTTCTCTCTCTCCCTCCCCCCAGGGTCTCCCCTCCTGGATTTGCAGGAGCAGTTCAGCCCTCCTGAGATTGCGCCGCCGCTGCTGGTGAAGCTGGTGGAAGCTATTGAGAAGAAAGGTAAGAGAGGATACTGAGAAATGAGGGGTTGAGCCCCCCAGGGAGGGCAGGGGGAGGGCAGCTGTCTTTAAAAGCAGTTGGCATTGGCCTGAGCTCCATGGGACATGCAGGACACAGCTGCCCAAGGAAGGGGGGATACTCCCGCTCCTCTGCTGTTCCCCAGAGCCAGGCTCAGCCCGTGCTGGGCTTTGGGAAGCACTTCCAGCCTGGATCTGTGACAGGGGAGAAACTGGGCCACTGAACTGGGCATCCACCCCCCTGAGGGGTCTGCAGCAGCATCTGCAGGGGGTTGGCTTGGGCACCATCCAGCCTGGCTGGCTGCTGGCCGGGCTGGCACCAAAGCGCCGCGCGCGCTGGGAGCTGCAGGGCTGGCAGCTCCACAGCAGCCTCCTCGTTTCCGCAGGGTTGGACAGCGAGATGTTGTACAGGACATCTGGCTCCGAGCTGAGGCAAGCGCTGAGAACCGGTAAGAACCAGCTCTGCGCGGGGAGGAGGCGAAGCAGCTCAGATGGAGGAGATTAGTGGATGTGACAGCGCCAGCAGTAATGCAATCCAGGCCCGGCTTGCCTGTCCCCGGCAGTTCCTGCCTCCAGGCACACTGCCTGTGGGGCTGGGCTGTCCCTGTCCCCACATGTCCCTCTGGTGGGGAAGGGAAAGGAAGGGGGGGGATCCCTGCCACCGTGGGGCAAAGGGACATGGTGCTGGCTTAGGGTTTTCCAACCAGTAGGGCCTGTAGGAAAGCTGGGGAGGGACTTTTTACAAGGGTTTGGGATGATAGGATGTGGAGGAATGGTTTTAAACTGGAAGAGAGGAGATTTGGGTGGTGAGAGCCTGGCCCAGGTTGCCCAGGGAAGCTGTGACTGCCCCATCCCTGGCAGTGTTGAAGGGCAGGTTGGATGGGGCTTGGAGCAGCCTGGGCTGGGAGGTGGGTGGGAGGTGCCCCTGCCTGTGCAGGGGGGCTGGGACTGGATGGGCTTTAAGATCCCTCCCAACCCAAACCATTCCACGATTCTAAGTGAACCCATCCACTAGTCTCCCCCATCCCTTAGGGGTACCCCCTCTGACAGGCTGGCAGAGGCTGCTCTGGCTCTGTCACACCACTAATCATCAGGATCTGTGAGCTGGGTTTGGTAGCTGCAGCCTTGGCTCCGCTCTGCCGGCGGCTCTGCTGAGGAGCCTCCGGAGCCGTCTGCTCTGCTGGGCTTGGGCCTCACCCAGCCCCACACTGCCTGGTCCCCTTCCACAGACATTCTTGCAAACCCCCACTGCGTGGTGCTGTCAGCTCTGGCTGTGGTGATTTTGAGACAGAGTTTGGGACAAATCTTAAAGCCTGCACCCTGTGTTCACAGAACAGCACCATTTCAGGGGGACAGTTTCCCCCTTGGGTTCAGTGTGGGGCTGGTCAGTCTGTGCTTGTCTCTACAAGCAGCAAGGAACAAAACTGTCACATGAGTCCTGCGTGCCCAGGATTCCTGTGGCAGGGCTTGGGACAAAGGGTTTGGGCACCCAGAGTGACCTCTACACCCTCCCGGGATGGGGGCAATCTGGCTGGATTCCCAGAGCCAGCTTATTTTTGGGGTGCAGGGAGCACTCCCAGATGTCCCTCGTTATTTGGGCTGGCTGAGCTCCCTTGTACCAGGCTGCCATGTCCCGTGAGAGCCAGGATGGGTGCTGGCAGCACCTGAGCTGCCAGCTGGGTGCCTGGTGCTGTGCCTATCACCCATGGCAATTGTGTGTCCTGGCAGATTGGACCCTGGGTGACCTGGAGCCCTTTGACGTGCACTCCCTGGGCGAGGCGCTGCGAGGTTACCTGCAGGACCTGCCCTCCCCCGTGGTGCCAGTGTCTGTGCACGGTGACATCCTTCGTGTCCTGCAGGGTAAGGCTTTGCCCTTGGGAATGGGGTGGCTGGGCAGGAAGGACATGTTTGGGGTATTAAAATAAGCCCTGTCCCTGCAGGGTCTGACACGGCCCCCCCAGCTGGCAGTGCTTCCATGCTGTGACCCCGCTGGAGCATGGAGAGCAGTGCTGGCCATCCCAGCCTTCCCATCGTGTCTTGTTCTCTCTCCCCAGAGATTCCCCAGCCGGAGAATTGCCGGAAGCAGCTGCTGCTGGCCCTGGAGTCGCCTGCGGTAATCTTAAAGCCTGCACCCTGTGTTCACAGAACAGCACCATTTCAGTGGGACACTTTCCCCCTTGGGTTCAGTGTGGGGCTGGTCAGTCTGTGCTTGTCTCTACAAGCAGCAAGGAACAAAACTGTCACATGAGTCCTGCGTGCCCAGGATTCCTGTGGCAGGGCTTGGGACAAAGGGTTTGGGCACCCAGAGTGACCTCTACACCCTCCCGGGATGGGGGCAATCTGGCTGGATTCCCAGAGCCAGCTTATTTTTGGGGTGCAGGGAGCACTCCCAGATGTCCCTCGTTATTTGGGCTGGCTGAGCTCCCTTGTACCAGGCTGCCATGTCCCGTGAGAGCCAGGATGGGTGCTGGCAGCACCTGAGCTGCCAGCTGGGTGCCTGGTGCTGTGCCTATCACCCATGGCAATTGTGTGTCCTGGCAGATTGGACCCTGGGTGACCTGGAGCCCTTTGACGTGCACTCCCTGGGCGAGGCGCTGCGAGGTTACCTGCAGGACCTGCCCTCCCCCGTGGTGCCAGTGTCTGTGCACGGTGACATCCTTCGTGTCCTGCAGGGTAAGGCTTTGCCCTTGGGAATGGGGTGGCTGGGCAGGAAGGACATGTTTGGGGTATTAAAATAAGCCCTGTCCCTGCAGGGTCTGACACGGCCCCCCCAGCTGGCAGTGCTTCCATGCTGTGACCCCGCTGGAGCATGGAGAGCAGTGCTGGCCATCCCAGCCTTCCCATCGTGTCTTGTTCTCTCTCCCCAGAGATTCCCCAGCCGGAGAATTGCCGGAAGCAGCTGCTGCTGGCCCTGGAGTCGCCTGCAGTCCCGCTCCAGAACACGCTCACCCTGCAGTTCCTGCTCCGGCATCTGGGGAAGGTATCGCAGCAGGCCGAGAGCAACAGCCTCCACCCCCGGGCCCTGGGGGAGATCTTTGGGCCCCTTCTCCTCCGCCTGCCTGGCGCCAGGTACGCGAGTCCCAGCCCTGCCACGGGTCCTGCCTGTGACAGCAGGTTTGCCCAGAACCCCTGCCCCACCACCCGTGGGGTTCAGCTGCTGGCAGCACAAAGAAGAAGGGCTGCAAGAGCCGTTGCTCCTGGGTCAGCCTGGGATCTGGCAGCTGGGGTGAACCAGCGTTGCCCAGGACATGGGCGTGGTGCCAAGTTCTCCCCCAAAACCACCAGTCTTATCTCCTCTCCTCCCTGCAGCCCAGAGCTGAGCCCGGACTTCTCCATCCTGTTTCTGGAGATGCTTCTGCAGACGAAGGAGTTGGAACCAGAACAGTTGCCTCCAGGTACCAAGATGCCCCTTCTTGGGGCCTGAGGCACTAGTGCATGCTCCATGGGTGTGCAGTCCCTGTTCCCCAGGGCAGGTTGCTGAGGGCAATCCTGGAGCCCAACTGTCAGCTCGAGGCATCCAGCTGCTACCAGAGCTGTGCCTGGAGCAGCTCCTGGGGGTGTGGTGGCCAAGTGGGACTTCTGACAAGGGCAGGGAGTGAGAAGACAAGGGGTAATGGATCACAACTAGAAGAGGGAGATTTAGGTTAGACATTAGGAGCAAGTTCTTCACTGTGAGGGTGGTGAGACACTGGGACAGGTCCAGTCGAACACATCTTTGGAAGTGTTCAAGGGCAGGTTGGAGGGGGCTTGGAGCAACCTGGTCTGGTGGAGGGTGTCCTTGCCCATGCAGGGGGTTGAATCTAGATGATCTTTAAGGTCCCTCATTCCCCAACCATTTTGTGTTTCCCAGGATGGGCAGTTCAGGAGAGGTACTCTGCTCCCAGGGATTACGCATGGGGAGCTGGGACTCAGGCTCACCCTGCTTCAACTCTCCTTCTCTTACAGCTTTGCCTCCAAAACCACCAAAGCCAAAGCCCAGCGCAGCCAGCCTGGCCAACGGGAACAGCGTGCCCTTGCAGGACGCCGAGTGGTACTGGGGTGACATCTCCCGGTAAGGGGGTGGCAGGCAGCTCATGTCCAGGGATCCCTATCCATTGGGTTAGCCAGGGATGCTCCAGCCCCACCTCACAGACCATGACAATCATGTTCTTCACAGGGAGGAGGTGAATGAGAAGCTCCGGGACACACCAGATGGTACTTTCTTGGTGCGTGATGCCTCCAGCAAGATCCAGGGAGAGTACACCCTCACACTCAGGTGGGCTGCTGATGTCCCTAGGAGCTCAGCAGGTGTCCGTGGACACCCAGACATCCGACTGGGGTGGTGATGAGTGTCCTCTCTCTTCTCCCCACCACAGGAAGGGAGGCAATAACAAGTTGATCAAGATCTTCCACCGGGAAGGGAAGTACGGCTTCTCGGAGCCCCTGACGTTCGGCTCGGTGGTGGAACTTATCACCCACTACCGGCACGAGTCACTCGCCCAGTACAACGCCAAGCTGGACACCAGGCTGCTCTACCCCATCTCCAAGTACCAGCAGGTGAGTTCTGGGCTGCAGGGACACAACTGGACAGCACAGCCTGACCCAGGGACATTTGCTCATCCATTTCCTGGGAAAAAATTCTTTACTGATAGAGTGGTGAGGCATTGGAAGAGGGTGCCCAGGGAGGTGGTGGAGTCACCATCCCTGGAGGGGGTCAAAAAACATGTAGGCATGGCACTCTGGGACATGGCTTAGTGGGCATGGTGGTGTTGGATTGATGATTGGACATGATGATCTTAGAGGTCTTTTCCAACCTTCATAATTCTCTGGTTCTATGACAATGTCCCACCCCTTCCCACCTGCTGGGCTGCTGCTTTATGCAGGGCTGGGAGGGGGAGGTTTTGGGACCAGCTCCCTTGTTGGGGGGCTGCTGTAGGACAGGAGCAGGTCCTGACTGAGGCTGTGCCCGTGGCAGGACCAAGTGGTGAAAGAGGACAGCGTGGAAGCCGTTGGGGAGCAGCTGAAGGTCTATCACCAGCAGTACCAGGACAAGAGCTGGGAATATGACCTGCTGTATGAGGAGTACACACGCACGTCCCAGGTAGGTGGGCACTGCCCTGACAGCCCCTGATGGTGGCAGCCACACATGGAGGGGGGCAGAGATCTGGCCTGCCTGCCCCATTTGTCTGCTTCTGGACATGAGGGGACACCCCAGAGGATGGGCTTCAAATAAGGGGTTATTTGTGGCTGCAGCAAGGACAGTGTGTCTTTGAGGAGGAGGCAGAAGGGATGTGAGGGGGCAGAAAGCTATCCAAATGCTGCTCCTTCTTCAGCTCTCCCCTCCCTCTTCAGGAGCTGCAGATGAAGAGGACAGCCATCGAGGCCTTCAACGAGACCATCAAGATTTTTGAGGAGCAGTGTCAGACCCAGGAGAAATGCAGCAAGGAGTACATCGAGCGGTTCCGGCGGGATGGCAACGAGAAGGAGGTTCAACGGTGAGGACAGGGGGTGCTGGTGACCTTCCTGGCCTGGGGAAGATCTCCAGGGGCTGGAAGGATCATCCTGGCCCAGCACAGAGCTGAGGGGTGTGCAATCCTTGTCTCTCCAGCAGCCTGCTGTGGGCTGGAGCTGGCAGGCTGCCTCCTCTGCCTCCCCCACCAGGCTGGCTGCCTAATCCCCCCCTCCTTCCCTCCTCCTCCTCCTCCCAGGATCCTCATGAACTCGGAGAAGCTCAAATCTCGCATCACCGAGATCCACGACAGCAAGATGAAGCTGGAACAGGACCTGAAGAAACAAGCCTCGGAGAACCGGGAGATCGACAAGCGCATGAACAGCCTGAAGCCAGACCTCATGCAGCTGCGCAAACTGCGGGACCAGTATTTGGTGTATGTGCTGCCTGACCCCCCCCCCTCCACCCCCCTCAACGTTGGGATGGGAACAGGGGCCCCCCTGCCCCTCTGTCCCAGCCCAGGAGCGATCCAGCTGGCTCCTTGAGGGCTTTTGGGGCTTGTTGGACCGGCTTGGAGGCTGCTGGGTGCAGGAAGGAGCCTCAGGGCCTGGCAGGGCCTCAAAGGGGGTGGCTGCTGCCCTCTGGTGCTGGCGTGGCTGCTGAGCTCTGCCTCTGCTTCCCC